TTTTGTGGCATGAAGAGTTTAAGAAAAAAATAATAAAGGTGGTTGGATGTGGGTAGAAATGGGAGACGGTGCCTACTGGGAAGAATGTAGCCATGCCAGCTAATCCAGGTGCCCAGACAGAGAAGCACAGCTTTCTCCAGCCAAAGAGCACGACAGATAATGCCATACCCATGGTTTCCCCTAGAAAGACCAGTTAGATATGTGCATTAGGCGGTGGGAAGGCCCCACCCCTGCTGAGCTGTGTATGTTATGCTTTGAAATAGTGAAAGCTGAACCCAGGTTGGAAGTTGTACTTGCCTGCAGTGAACGATTATGGGACAAGCACGACCCCTGTAGCACTTGTTTACTTTTCTGAAATAAAAAGAGATAAAAGTTTACAGTGATAAACCAAGATTCCGCTATCAGATAAACTAACAAGTCCCAGCTCATAGTCCCTACATTGAGATAGTTTTTTGCTATAGCCTGTTTGAACAAAGAAAGCAAAACCACATTTAACTTCTAAGATTTTCCTGTTCAATGTTAACTTATTAAACAAGCTTTAAGAACATCTTTTAAAAACATCCACGATGTTTCTTTTCCCCTTAAAGAATGAGTGCCAGGGTTTGGGTCAATGGATCCCCAGGAGCCAGCTCTGTACCCCCAGTCCTCTCACATCTTCTTCCACCCTTCCCACGGTGCCCCTGTATGTGGCTGGTGATCAGACCTCTGTTGAGGAACGTTTGAGTTTTGAAATTTATGCTCAGAACCACTGGAATAGAGTATGACCACTTTTAAAAATGGCACCCTAAAGATCCCATTTGATGTGCTAGTTTTAGGTAAGGGAACCCAAATTATGGAGAACATTCCAGAAAGCTCAAGACCATCTCTTTCATTTTTCTAAATCTGAGTGGTTTTAAAAATAACTCCATTGTGCAGGTTTAGAGCAGCAGTTACAGGAGAACTAACAGTGAGATAAGTTTGAGTTTTTTGTTGAACATCCTGTACCTAAATCAGAGGGCTGATTTAAATTCACAGTATAACCTCCAAGTTTTTTTTTCCCCCTTAATTCAGTGAAACAACTAAACAAGTTTTCAAAGTACATTAAAGTTCTCAGTAAAGTATTTCTTGTAAAGAAACACAAAGACAGGATCTCAGTTTGCTGGAAGGAAAAAAGGGTGGGGGTGCGGAGGATGCCTTCTAGGACCTGCTGTGACCTCCTGTAATATAAGACTCAAGTTAAGGAGAAAAAGTGGCAATAAAAAAAGAAAAGTTTCCCCTTGAACAAGAGATGGAAAGATGTCATGTTTCTTTGCAAAGACACGCCTTCATAGCGCAGTGGAAACTCAGTGGCTGGAGCCTCCCAGCAGGGAGGACTGGGTAGGGGGAGATGCAGCCCCAGCTCTGACTAGATGCTTTAGCATCAGGCTGCCCAGCATCACAGGCCTTTTTCTTTTTCCTACTCCACTGACTGCAGCTTTACTAGAATTAGCTACTTCTGATAGAAGTCTGAACAACCCCCCCACCCCCCCGCCCCGCCCAT